CTTGAAGCGTCCTCATCGCTTATTAAAATAAAGAGTTTCAAGAAATAGAAGCAAAATGCGGTCATCATTGTTTGCTGTAATTTGGAAGAAAAAAGAAAACCTACTGCTTCTTTGTCATCCGGAGGTGGAGCAATATCCTTCCACTCTTCGATAACCTGCCCTAAATCGATTTTACCCAATGGAATTAACACCTGGCCAATTTGGTCGTGTTTTGAAAATCGGTCGAAGTCGTACACAGCAAATACAAGCGTCTTGTTAGTAATTTCATTAAATGGCACCTAAGTGAAGGTTTCTGGTGACATAAAAGTGATTGTTGTTGATACCATTCAAGTGTTTGTAAAGTCTTTGTATGGAAAGGAGAGAATGAGCAAGGAGCTTCTCAAAAGCAGAACGTTTGGTATATCATGTGTGAAAAAACAAGCAACATTTCACAAACTTTGAAAATGAAAGTTTCATTAAAGACTGGATTCAGAGTTTTTCTGTGCACTTTCGTCTCCACTTTTTTCTTCTTTTCCGGCAATAAATAAAGTTTAACATATGGGTCAGAAGTTCCGCTCATATCCATACCAGGAAGATCTTCAGCTTGAATTACTGACACTGAGAGCTGCAAAAAACAAAAAAAAATCCATCTATCGGCTGATAGAAATAGTTAACGATTGGGGAACTGGAATAGGCGGCAAGGCAAAAATGAAGAATCACATCTCTTTGACTTTCACAGGAAGTGCTGCACATTAAACATTTCTCAAAACTGCCACTCTTTGACTTTTTCTCAGATTAATCCACCCTACCAATTGCAACACTAACAAAAATCTCCTATGTAGTTCACCTGCTTTAAAAGTTCATAATCCCTCCAGTTCAGGTTTTTTTCGAGTAGAAAATCTTATGCCATATTAAAAACAAGTAGCGAATCTTTGGTGCTGTTGCCCATTCCGTTACATTTCTCATTCAAATTTTGTAGATTTGTTTAATATAATAAATTATAACAGTCTTAAATAAACGTGTCACTCGTCAATGTATATCAAGAGCATTTTCAACTTATCTTGAGACGGAGTGAAAGTTCTGGCGCATAACGAAACCCCGAGCTTTGAAAAAAAGATGATCAGCAATCAGTTGAGGAGGAACAGTAACTTATGGTAAATAACACGAGTTAAAAAAAGGGCTCTACCAGTAGTTACGTTGTTTTGTTGCGTAAAGTAGCAGAAACTGCTACACTGCATGTGACGTTCTACATGAGGCAACTGAGTGACTTTCTGCTTACAGAGCTTCTTTACTTAGTTAATTTGTTAGACTCTCCTCTACCTGACTACCACTATTTTCAAGTTCACGTTGCTTTTACGCTTCATGAGCCCTATTCTGTTCTGAAATTAAAATGAGCCCTAATCTGTTCTGAAATTTTGAAAATTCTGTTCTGAAACTTTTTTCTTTTACTTTTTATTTTTATTTTCATTTTTTTTTTTTTTTTTGTGTAAAAACCTAAGCTGCTCGTAGTTTATTTAAAGTGGGAACTAAATACCACTCTTCTCCTCACTGAGGGTTCATAGGTGATGAAAGCTGCGAGGGAGTGTCAGTTAAGTCAATTCTAAGACGGAAACCAACCTGGCCTTGCTGGAAATCATAATCAAGCTTGTATTGAAGCCTTCCAAGCTTTACCTGCAAAGAAACGATTTAGCAGTGTAAAGCGAATGAGGTTCAACGTATCTAATCACCCAACTAAGTAACAGCTTTTTACGTATCAACCAAGCAAACAAAGCCAGTTAAACTGCGTAAAAGAAATTTTACTTCTTCTTTTTCTTCAGCCTGTTCTTTCTCGTTCTGTTCCATATTTTCTTCGAGTTCTTCCAAGTCTGCTTGCAGCTGAAGCAACAATAAGCTGATATTAAAACCTTTAAAGACTCAAAATCTTAAAATTAAACACCAGAAAACACTTATTTTATTGGTAAAACATCGCTCATGACAGTTACATTACGATACTCAAATATCCAAAAAAAATTTTAAATTTTTTAAGATATGCAGTAGAATTTTAAGAACTCACTTTAGACCGATCGAATGTGATAATGTCTCCTCCCTTACCACCTAGAAATCCTTTTATTCCTTTTTTGTTTTTGTCCCCGTGCCTTTTTTTGCCAAACAGTTTCCGAATGCACAACCACGCACAGCCAAGAAGTATTATAATGCATATTAAGCCGAACAGTACAACTATCCACTGTGGCACTGTAAAGACAAAGAGCAGTGTATAAAGCTACAGGAAAGCTGGGTAATTGTTTAAATCATCCCATGATTAAGGACGGTTCCGTCCTTAAGCCTCTGCAAAATCATAAATCTCTTATATGGTGCTAGTTTATACTAAAAACTTTCTGAAAATTCACATTTTATCCTAACGATCAAAGAACGTTTGAAAATGATATGCTGCTGTGTAGTAAAACTGCTGTTGGGCATTTCGTAAGTGACCGAAGTGTTATTTCATTAAAAGAGAAACCTAGTCACAGATCGTCGATAACTTTTTTGTTGCTAAACGTTGCAGTATCTGAAATGGCTATACAGCACAAACGCCACTCAGAGTAAATTTATTCTAAAATTTTAAAATGCTGCACTTACTGTAACCCAAAGTCTGCCTAATTACCTAAAAAAACAAGTGACATTCTTGAAACTCATATCGTTTAGCTACTCCACGTTTCTTTTGGCCAATTAATAGCTGATAGATACACTGTAATTTAGATCTATTCGCTTGTACCTCCTTCACTGAATTCAGTTCTTCACTGCTTTTAAGTTCATTTCTATCTGGACACTTATTCTCAAATACGAATTTGTCGCGTTGTACATTTAATTTAGTGGACTATGCATTGAAGTCAACAGATTTAACCGGAATTAAAAACAGAGTTAGGGTTCTACTGTTGACCAATTTTTGCCACAGAAATGACACTTCTAGAGATATTTGAGTGGAAGGTCTGTAATAGCAACTTAGTTTCTGACTTTTAAATTCATTGCGCGCAGCATCTTGCGAATTCTCACCAGAACAGCTTTCATGAGGCTTAATTCTTTTAAGGTAAAAGTAATAATTAATAGATCATCACTACTGTTCCATGAAAAGCTACCTTTTGCGCATATTTAGAGCTTTTGAGGATGAAAGTGAAGAATTTCAAAAGTGCGAAAACTGAAAACGCTACTACAACAGAATTTTGAAAGCATTGCTGTGAGTGGGATGAAATTAATGGAGAGCGCCTCAAGCGCACTGCCAGGAATTTTTTTTTAGCTTTACGACGCTACCTGACCAAAATCAGTAACCTGGTGCTTCTAAAGTCGATTATGAAATGGAGAGGCTGCAACACTTTGCTACCTATCAGCACAAAAAAAAATTTTGGGGAGGACGCTTTGAAGGGGTAACAATTTTTTTTACACTTTCATAATGAAGCATCATCTCAAGCGAAAATTTTAGTAGAAATATGCAAAATCGAGGTCGATTCAACGCGGCAATGACAACTGATCTTACAGCTACAGTTTTAGCTTTCGTCGAAACCTTACGAAGAATTCAATAAAACTTGATATTTAACTGGTCAGTTGAGTATTTGCCGAGTTTTATAGTTAATTTGAACCCTAGCAAATCACGAAAACAAGTCTCATGGATTCAGCTAAAAGTTCTGCCAATTTCAAGGCACCAATAAGAAGTATCGAACTGTAAGCTACAGTGGAACCCTGAAACTACATTAAAGTAGGAGAGGATTGAACAGGTCCGTGAAGGTGATGAGCACTGAGTGACATGGTTCGCGCAATAAATTAAAACCACCAGAACGAGTGAGATTCAAGCCTCTTGGCCGTAGCAATTCAGCAAACTATCTACATTACCTCCTCTTCTGAGTTTTCTTATTTGAAAATCATCCTTATCTGTAAAACAGTTTCGTTTACATATATCCCACTAGCTAAAACAAAAAAGTCAACTAAAAAAATTAATTAATCCCAAGTTTAATATTATAGGAGTGAAGAATTTCAAAAGTGCGGAAATTGAAAACGCTACTACAACAGAATTTTGAAAGCATTGCTCTTAGTGGGATGAAATTAATGGAGAGCGCCTCACGCGCACAGCCAGGAATTTTTTTTTAGCGTTACGACGCTACCTGACCAAAATCAGCAACCTGGTGCTTCTAAAGTCGATTATGAAGCGGAGAGGCTGCAACACAGTTTGTCATTGCAACTAAAAGGATATCTGAAAAAACAAACTCACCAGAAATTATGTACTTAAAGTGAGCGTTTAGCTCCGGTCTCTTTGGAATTGCCAGAATGCGAATAGCATTTGCAAAATCTTAATGCCAGTGACTTAACGGCCAAACCGTTGCCAGTTTCAACTGATTATACCACCATTTCGTGTATTTCGTAATTGATTTTTCATACCGAGGCAACGGTTTCTTAAGTAATTTTTGATAGGACACTTTACTGCATTTTGTTTAATGCCCTCCTTCGGTTTCGTTGTTCTACCATCATCCTTCACTGCAGAAAATTTGGTTTCGTACGAAGTACTTTCGTAGAAAAAAAATAAGTAGCGCTTGTTAAACTATGAGACAGTTCGAAGAGGGTCTCATTAGACTTGTTTCTTGCGTCTGTACCGCACGAAAGACAGAGAAAAACAAAAGTGTTGGAACAAATAAGTTTTTGTCTGTATTTCCTTATGGTCCTCGCACAGAATAAACGCAAAAATAAACCAATTTCTAGATCCGCAACTACTGGGTTTTGTTATACAGCTGATCAGGCATCAAATATCATTAGCTCACGTTGTTATGTAGGTGTTTTATCTCGTCAATTGCGGCGAAACAGAAGAAGCTGTAACGTTCCTTAAAAGAGATTTCCTTATTTTACCAGCATCGTTATTTGTCACCCAACCACTAAATAGCAAGAAGCTGTTTTGTAGACAAAGCAATGCGTAGCCGTTCAACAGAACAATGCGCTCTGTAACTTTTATTTATTTATTTATTTATTTTTTTGCTTTTCTTTGAACCAAATATCGGTGACAGTAGAGGCTACACCTGAATGTTGGTAAACCATTCACGTGTAGGTCTGATGAAGTCAACATGGAACACCAGGCAAGAAAGCTTTGAACTTTTGGTTAGGTACTGTGCAGTTACTCAGTGATGATAAGGACGGAATTCCTGCAAGTGGAACGGACCTAGAGTGCTTCTGCTAACAGCGGCTTATACTTAACAGTAAAGATATGGTGTATTAGTCAAGAAAGACTGAAGGCAGCGAAGGTGGAGCGGAAAACGCTTATATTTTGGGTTCATTCCTGCTTACCGTAACCTTTCAAATAACACGTTTCTGGTCAAATTGACCGCCCATCCCGGTGCATTTGGTACAGTAATTAGTGAAGCTGCTTTGTTATGTGATCACAAAGTCGTTAGTACAATTAGCACCTTTCCAAGAAATTTTTAGTTTTTTGGAGGACCAACAGTATTAATTAAATTATACTGTAGATAATACCTCTCAAATTAAAGCTACTTTTCAGACAAAGTGGATCAATAACTCGTACAGAAAGATGAAATTATTTTATAATAAAATTCTTGGCTCAGTCTTCAAGAAGCTTAACTTACTGCCGGTTTTTTTCATCGCCAGTTGTACAACTTTTGCAACAGCTTCTTTAGCTTTTTTCTCGACTACTTCGCTTACACCTTCTGATTTTATTGTCGTCGTAGTAGTGCCATGTGGTGCATTTAACCTTCAATACAGTTGTAGATAAACTGTTTTTTTCTGAGCATCTCATTAAATTTTTTGTCTTTAACAAAATTCTGAATCTGTTTTTTACGGGATTTTTATACTTAATTTAAGATACGTAAGAACTTTCGGGCTACGTTTATTCACCAGTGGTTTATTTTTTAGATAGTATTACTTGGTAAAGCTTTGGAATTTTTTCTTGCACAAGCTATCTGATAGGAAATAAACTTTAAAAGTGAAATAGACTTGTGCTTCTTTGAAGTTAGTTTTGCATTTTATTTATGGTCAGTCTTCCGCCATAGAATTTATATTTCGTTTCATTTTCAGCGTGCAAAAAAGATCCTGCTCTAGATTCATCCTGCCTCCGGTGGCTCTCAATATTTAGAGAAAATAAGTAAAACTTGAAGGGCAGAAAGTGTTTGTGCTTTCTTCAGAAAAACGAACAGGTGTTAAATTTGATATTGTTAGAACGATGAGTTTGCTGTAGAAGGGGATACGTTTGAAATAAAAATAGCGATTGAAGATAGGTGTTTTAGAAGCGGGCTAAACGTGTGGATGTGTCCCACTCTGTCTTACTGTTATAGAAGTCATATCAGTAACGCAATAACAAAAAGGAGTTCAAAGCCTACCCACTTTAGCACCCGAAATTTTCAGTTTCTTTGAAAACGTAAAATGACTATTCAAAATTAAGCAGTCTTTAGAATAAAGCGGTAGAATACTTGAGTTAAAAAATAGTCGGTCGATTTGAAAGAATTTAAATTATTAATTGAATCCTACATTAAAAACACGACAGTTATTGTGGCTTTAGAGGATTCTAAAACGCGTTTATGTATCAATATCGACGTTTTGCTGTATTATTTCACTGTGTTCATAAGGGATGCGACAAACATCTGCTTTTCAATGACTCTTTTAAAACTACTGATCTTCTATTAATTCAGATGGAGATTCAAAAAATGAGGGGGAAAATCAACCTTGAAAACTATGTCATCGACTGAAATCTCACGCTCCTCCCAAGCACTGATCTACTTTTGCCAAGATTCATAGCTAATTTACAAAATGACAGTTTGGTGCATGAAGCACCTGTTTCGCTTGACAAAATATAAATGAATCGTACGAAGGTATTTTACACACACAGCTTCAGTAGATACTGGCTTTTTTTGGTAAGCTGCCCTTTCAAAGTTTTCAATTCTTTTAAATGAACTTAAAAGGAAGAGGCGCTTCAAACTTTGAGGTAATACGGCAGCAAAAAGAATTGCAGTAGTATTCTCTATCTTCTCTCCACTTCTACTCCCCACCTGCACCTAACAATGTCATCAGAAAAGACTGAAAGAGAGTGTTAAAAAAGCGACCAAGAAGATCAAAATCCTGGAAGGAAGATCCTCTGAAGAAGAACAGTTTTTCAATTTACAACATAATAGACAAATCTTATATAAACTTACACAGTAGCGGAAAGTTTAGTGGTTAATTCGGGCTCTTCGCTTGCTAGCACCTCCACGTCTTCAGAATTTAGCACTTCACCACTTCCTTCCTCATCTCCCATGACTGCAGTGGGTAGGTGAATAAATGTTCAATAATACCAAAAAATAGGAGATTTTGCGCCTTTGAAACCTTAATAATTAAAAACTGCAGTTTTACTTTTTAGAAATGTACATGTAGAACAGTTCTGATTAAAATATCAACGAAAAAAATTACGTTTTTGCATAGTTTGCACCTGTGTACATAACCACTCTTTAACTATACATTGATTAGGGCTCGATCACGACGCGAATCACACAATGAATTCATAAAAAGTTATGAAAACACAGTTATGGCAACTTGGAAATGGTTGTTTTTAAGTTGAATCCCTTGAAATTAAAGTATAACAGAACACAAATAAGTTTTCATAAGCTTTTGAAGAGCAGTGACATCATAAAATTTCACAGAAGTCCGCTTACAAAATAACCGT